TCGCGAACGTCGCCGCCGCAGTTCAATACCAACATCGTGGATGACGCTAACGAGAGACAGAAACGGATGGAAACAGAGCTGTGGCCTGTACGAGAGTGAAGAAGACCATCTAATAAATCAAATGGTTGATTACGATTTAGCCGAGCTTCCCTTCACTCGAGATAGTCATCTCTCTATCAACCGATGAACTGATATAAGAACTACCAGCGGCTCATCATGCATATTTGATTTGTATGTAAACGTGTGAGTCTCATCTGATTAATCTCATTGCATACTAATCAAGGAATATCAATAAAGTGGTTGGTTTGCTACCAAACTTATCAAATCATTAGCTTTTGTTTTCCAAAACATGCTTAAATGACTGCGTACCATCATATAATTCACGGGAAGCCACATCGTACCATAGAAAAGACCGGAAGCCATCGCAGATATAACGCTTCTAAATGTCTTACTGAGACAAACTATCAAAATAATCAACTCTCCAGCAAAATTTGTTATTTGATATTCATTTACTTTTCAGCTCAACCATGGACTAAGTCCAAAGTAGCTAGGACTAACACTCTAAAAATTATGAATCTATCAAAAATTACTTACAAGAATCTCTCAATTAATGAGATGTCTTTGATCGCTTCTTTCGACTCCGCAGAATGTCCCTAAATTTCATTCATTTTGTCAGTGTAGAGAAAAAATGAATCTGCCTGAAACTTCGCCTGTAGAGGTCACTCAAACGTGCCAAGTGGGAGTAGGTCGTCATTAATAACGACATACGTTTGCCGTCACATTATCGCTTTGTAAATGTTAAAAGGAGATGACTAGATTGGATAGGAAATCTTTGCAGTTTTTTTTTTCTCTGCTGCTTTTCCTTTCCTCTCCAACACGTTGCCGAGTCATTTTTTTCATGACTCGCGCTTGGGACGACCATTTTTCTTTTTGAAAATTTGTCAACTTCTAAGTAAATAAGTTATGATGAAAATATTGGAGAATGTAAGAGACGAAGAAACAGACCTTGAACCCTGTAGCTAATTTCGAATTTCAGTCTTGACCATTCGAGATAAACTGGAGTCCGGGGTATAAAGTAGGATTTTCGAGAGTGTAATCATCTTTTTGAGTAATTTTGTCATCATGAGCGTTTCGGATGCCTACATTAACTACCTCAACGAAAGCCTTGACGATTTTCTGTTCGACAGCGATGCTGAAGCTCCCGATGGTATGGATGGCGGGACATGCTCGTGCTTTTGTTTCTAGCACTGATGAATCCGATACATCCCACATAACGACAACGACGAAGAAGCAGAGAACAACCGTAAGGAAGATGATAAAAATGACAAATGGAATTTAGCGGCCTGTTGGACCAAATCCAGAGGTGGAAAACTATAAGACGTCTCTCCAAGTTTAGGAGCCAGGCCTCGGCACA